GCCCCCGGAGAAGGACCATGGTTTGGGGGGGCCGGCCTCCTTTTGCAGCTCCCCCCTTGCCAGGTGACTAATGCCACAATCCCTTCTCGGATCTGATCTCCCCTCTTCCTTGGATGTACAAACATGCTTGCCAATGATAAGCAACCGGACTGTTGTCCCCCAGAATAGAAGGGGCCTTGTGTTGTTTTTTTAAAGGAAAAAAAAAGGATTTCGCCACAAAAAAAGGGGGATTTCGCCACTGCAGCTCTGATCCCATTCCCAGTTCGAGACCATTCCCAATTGCAGTCCCATTGTCAGGCTCAGTCACTTGTATAAGATTCATTACTGCCTAGGTAGGATAGCTGTATGTAAGCTGTGGGAGGAAGTTGCTGGTAGATAACAGTTATGCGTCAGAAAGAGTCCGTCGAAGTCGTGAGGCCAGCTGTCAGTCAGTCGAGTCAGCAGCAAAGTCCCAGGAAAGTCCACAAACTTCCAGAAGCGACAAACAAAGTGGACCCATAACCTCTAGCTGCAGTCTGGAAGGTGAATTTTCAAATGCTGACATTCCAGCTCGGAAGCAGTCGACACATATTCACTTGCTGGCTCAGGCGGAAGTGCTGCTTCGCGATTTTGGGATAGTGAGGAATGTGCTGATTGGAGATACTGCGGCTTGTAGCCTTGTGCTATTGCATGGACTCTGGCTGGTAATTGTCGTCTATGGCACTGAATTCCCTTAGGCAGTAGCCATAGCCAAGTCCAGAGTGAGGTTATGAGGGAGAGCGAACTTGAGAGGTATTTAGAGAGAAAGACCTTGATAAGGGGGAGAAAAGTGAGGCTGAGGGAGAGAGCGACCATAGCTGAGAGAGCTTGCAGGCGGCCATAGCTGCATCTTCTTGTGTAAAGACAATTCTGTGTAATTGAGTTGATTTGCAGATATGTTTTCGAGTTACATCTCACCTGTGCTCTGATGTGTGGAGGCATCGCACCCCAGCGTCGTACATGCCCCAGGGCATTGTTGTCAGTAATGCAGTCCAACCCAACTGTGCATCTAGCTTGGGTTCTGCTTATCCAGGTGTCAAAGTGATTGATGAGAGAAACTGTCCCAGTAATGGGTGCATTGCTATTCTGCATTTTGTGGTGCAGGAAAGACAGCTGGCATTTCCGCATGCTCGGCGAAAATTTGTGTTGCTTCCTTCACAGGCGTTTGGGAGGACGTTCAACCACTCTTCTTCAATAAAAACTTCATATCGAAGCAGTGCCGCAGACTGGTCAAGTCTGAGCAGTTCTGCAGGTGGGACAAGTCTGAACACTCCTGCAGGTGGTACGGGTATTAACACTCCCGCAGGCGGTACAAGTATAAACACGCCTACAGCTGGGACGAGTATGAACACACCTCGTAGCTTTACCACAATCAGTGGGCTGGGGGGATCACTGGCAACTGTGACGGCAACGTCAACTCCGTCAGCAGCAAGAAGTACGATTGGTGGATTCGACAAAGGCTCCGGAGACTCGTTGTTGCTGAGAGGCAGTCTGTCTGTAGCGTCAGTGGGTGCCAGGCACAAGCGGATGACTGGCGTGCTTCCGCGGCTTGGTGAAGTCTTTGCTGACTTGTCAAGGCGGAATGGTTTGCCACCTCGTGTGGGCTGCGCATCTTCTGATCATGAGCCCACCCGCTCTTCGCGAAGCATTAGGCTGGGTGATTCGCAGGAGACTCTGCCGAAATTGCGTTTGAACTTGAAACACGCTGTCTACTTTGCAGATGAAGCTCGTGTTGTAGAACGAGGAATTGATCCACCCTTCACAATGGCTGCTTCAGCAAACCTTTTGTCACTTGCGTCGGAGATGGCTGTAGAGTATCTCAAGGATGCTGAACTTGCTCTTGAAAGATTGAGCAAACATCATCAAGAAATGCAGTCAGGCTTCCACAGCCATGGTGAGTGATTAGTAATTTAGTATGACATCTTCTGCAAATTGCCCTTTTTTTTTTTTTTTTTACCATAATGTTATGGTCTGGGCTCCATTCTATTCTTTGAGCATCAGCCTGGTTCCTTTGCACCCACAAGTCAAATATATACGAGAATTGAGTCAATGACATATCACATGTCCTTCCGTCGAGGCCGGAGGACCCCCTGAATATCATTTACTACTCCATGCAATAGGATCAAATGTCAGGCTAGCCTTATTCCTTTGTGAATTCCTCTCGAGCCATGGAACTTGACTGCCTGATATGCTAGACCCCTGGACTGTCCAAAGGGTGACCTGGAGCTAGCTTGTGATCCTTTAGGACTGATACCCCGATGGCCCCCAATCGATTACTCGAATTACACCCAGGTTTCATTTTGGACTGCTTGTTGATTCATCCCATCTGACACAATAAGGCCTCTGAAGCTGTGCCCAGTAGGGTCCACTTGAGCGGCAGGATTGATTGTTGCCACTATGCAGTGAGCCAACCAATTATGCCAGAAGCTACCCTGGATTCGCTGCTTGTCATCCGGTCTGCTTTGGACGAGCATGTTTGTTTGCCTCCATTTTTTGCGTCTCATCTCAGCTTCAATGATATCCTTGGTTGCTGTCAGGCTTTCTCCGTTGGACTCATATTATACAGGGTTTTACACTGCATGGCTTTTTCTTATGGCCCACAGAGGGGCTTTCCTGATCATCCCTTTCGACAACCTGTTGGACTTGCTGAAATTGGAGGGGAGTTAATCCAGCAAAGAAGGTCGAGGGCCGGCCATGGGTAGCTGCTCCGCCAGTGGCAGCCATAGCTGCGCTGGGTGGAAGTGAGGTGGGACTGGGGAGAAGGACAGCGGTGCGAACAGGCGGACTTATCTAGTGATGGCCAAGGAGCACACTCACAGTGGTCAGACTCCACAGCATTGCTTGGCGATAGGAGAGTGGACATAAAGCGAAAGAGTGTGAGAGAGAAGAGTAGTCTGCATATATAGAGAGAGTAGGAGAGGAGTGTAGGCGGTCGCATTTGGCTTTCTTTATCAAGACACTTCGGTGTCAGTTTGTTCTCATTTGGTGTGCTCTTGGCCTTGCAATTCTACTTTCGGCTTTGCTCGTATATGATCATTCTGCTTTCAGTCTTTGCTGCTCGGAAAATTCGTGTTCCCATAGGTTGGTTCCCTGCAGCTGGTTCCTTGCACAAACTGAGGAATGGTCCAACTTGAAAAGAGAAAAGATTCAAAAGAATAATCAGGCCCATGTGGCTGAATTGTACTCCCATGGACTGTTTTTGGTCAACAGATTTGAGTTGAAAACCTGATAGAAGGAAATGGTTTCTAATAACTCTGAATTACCTTGGCCCAGTCAGATAACAATGATACCTCAAGGCTGTCGCCCTTTTTGAGGCTTTTTCAAAAAAAGAAAAGAAAGCAAAAAAGATCAAATTCTTCGAGCCTCTGCAGCCTTTTTATCTGACATGGTTAAACCGCCAGTACCTTTCACATATATTGGCCGGGGGGCTCAATTCGCCCTGCTCGCCATGAAAATTTGAAGCGACGCAGACGTATCTGGCCGGCCGCCAGCCAATTCATGGTGGTAACGAATTTCCGGGTTAACCGCCGCTGCATTTTTTTTTTTGAAGCGGGGAAAGGTCCTGGTGGTTTAAGCCACCTCTGCGTTCGCAGATTCTACTAACGATGACTGTTGAATGCCACTTTGTCTGACAATGTTGCGCCCTGCTGTGCATGTGCAGAAGCAGTGGAAGATGTTTTTGAGAAACGACAAGACAGCCCTGGCGCTAAGCAACGAATGGCTCTGGTTGTTCCTAGCACCTTCAAGGAAAGGTGCTTGTTTGGGAGAGAGAACTTTATGATCACCATGCAACCCCTTCAGGAAGCCCTTCTGGCAGTTGCGTCAGCAGTGCAACAAATTGAACGCGTCCAGTTTCTAGACGGGCATGCACCATGTTGCTCCTTCGATGATGCACACAACTGTCAGGTTGGTGTCAAACTTTCTTTGTCTCCTTTTTTGTTTATTGGTTGATGAGAACATGAGAGAGCCATCTAGGAGGAGTCACTTGAATTTTTTGTGAGCAAAAAGGCGCACTGACATGTGACCCCCCCAAAAAACTAAAAGGCGTGAATTGATTGCATTGCAGCTGCAAAGCAGTCAAGTTGTGAGGAAAAGAAAAAAGAGAATTTTTTTTTATTAAAGGAACATATTGTCATATTCATAATGTCATATAGAGTAGCACAAAACGTGAGGCCTTACTCTCGTGGAGGACATAATGTGCTAAGTCATAGAAAAACTGGAATGTGTGAAGCATGCCAGCATTGTCGCAGGTCGGGAGTTCGCAAGTGGATGATAGCGCGTTAGAGGGTGAATGGAAATTACCACTGTCGGCAGGATCACAGACTGTCAGTTCAGGCACTTGACTCCATTGGGTCCGATTACCTTGATGCATATCCCCTTTGGTTGGTTGGTTACCTTTGATGGATGATCCCTTTGGTTGCTTATCTTCGGCCGGTACCTCGTTCGACTGATTTTACCCTTAATGAGTAGCCTATGGATGTGCAAACCTCCCCGTTTTGTAACGAGCGCGAGGCTGAGGGAGACAGGGAGAGCCAAGGGAGAGGAGAGGGAGAGAGAGAGAGAGAGAGTGAGAGCACACACACACACTCACTCACTCGACACGACTGAGGGTCGGACGCAGACACAGTGGCAAGGACACAAAGTCGAAGTCTTGGATTCCGAATGCCGAAACAGGAGCAAGTCACACTGGGTACGAGTACAGCAGCTGGAAACTGGTACGAGACCGGTCCCCGTACTGTACGGGGCACGGGTATAAGTACCGGGTGTCCGGTACAGTACCGGGGGCAGATCTGCAAAAGCCCCGAGGGCAGAACTGAAAAGTGCGGTATTTGAAAGTGGCGCCCGAATTGCAGCATGGCGCCAGTTGTCCAAAATCCGATGGTACCAAAGGAGGGGTTTGGACAAAGGGTGCCAGGCCGAAAACGGGAAGCAGCAGAAACAGCAAAAAGATGGACCAGGGATCGAGCCCTGGCGGAGTCCGTAACACGTTTGGTCCATTATCTTGATGCGTATCCCCTTTGGTTGATTAGCTGTGATGGGTTGCCCATCTGGTTGCTTGGTTACCTTTTGGACAGATAACCCCTTTGGTTGATTACCTTCCATGGGTAGCCTGATTACCCTTAATGAGTGGCCTATGGTTGTACTATCCAAAGCAGTGTGGCTGTTGGGATCAACAGTCTTCCCAGCCAATACCTTAATATGAGTGTAAGCGAAGTTAGCGAACGACATAACTCGGATGGAATACAGATTGTTGCATGTGCCGCAGTTACAGGAAGAAATGCAGAAGGGAAGTGAAGGCTTGAACTCATGGAATACGTAGAATGTCCGGGTTGTTCCACTCGTTGTTGTTTTTTTTAGGGTTCTTTCTTCTGTCTTTAGTTCATTCATAAGCATTATCGTCTTTGCGTCATGTTGGATATTGCATGACGATCAGGTGAGCGCAATCATTGATGCAGCAGAGTACATACGGACTTCAGTGTTGGCAGATGTTGCAGATACAATCAGCAATGCCTTCATGGGCGACAAGGTGGTATGTCAGAGAAAAACAACTTTGGCTTTCTTTCATTGCATGCCATATAAACTTGTGCTATTGAAAGATAAGAGGGTAAACTGCATGTTGTTTGTTCAATATCATTCAAATTTCAAAGTTTTTGAAACCTGTTTGGGCTACCCAGCCCAAGAGGCTGAATGTGTAAACTTTTTTTTTTCCATAAAAGAAGTTCTCAGGCAGCGGGAGACTACCTTCTTCACCCTAATAGAACTCCCCTGGTCAATATCACTGTATCTAGACTGAAAGTTGCCCCAAATATGGGTATAATGACCGGGCATTCTATTCGGGTGAAGACGGTAGTTTAAAGTACCCAGTCCTACCCTACTGATCTCAGCCACTGCAGCAGCACCTGGGTTCACCCATAGGACAAAAAAATCTCAATCATTCAGAAAAAAGGAAATTATCAAAAATCAGAACAAGAAAAACCGGGTAAAAGAGAAATATGGTTAATGTCATCAATAAGCAGATCGTAAGCTCAAGTCCTGACGGAAGCAGACGGCTACTGTGATGTGCGAGGCGTTAGGTGACGGTGAGCGGCACGTTTTTGCCTGGAAAAGTCCCCAACCTGAGTGAGTTGCAAGTCTTGCAGCCATTGAAAAAAGAAAGTGGGTCGTGTCCACGGTGAGGAAAGAAGAAATGGCTTCAACAACTCCTTACTTAGATCCTAGGACTTTCGTCAGCTTCGGGACAAAACAATAGAGTCAGCATTCGCAAACCTCAAGAATAAGCTCGTTCGCAACTTCCTCTCAAAACAAAAACGAAAAAAAAAAAAGGGAGTGGGACCAACCTTTCAGATGTGGGTCAGGTTCCTCTATGCTGATGCACAAGGGTTCGTCTAAAATAACTGGCTTCAAATCGGCTCTGTAACGGGAGTGAGGCTGAGGGTGAGCCGAGGGAGAGGAGAGAGAGAGGGCTGTCTCTTATACACATCTAGATGTGTATAAGAGACAGCCCCCGGAGAAGGACCATGGTTTGGGGGGGCCG